AAGTAGGCGTGCAGAAGAAAGGATAGACTTGAGAGATGCTAAAGAAGTAGAATTGATAAGACTTAATTTATTAATTATTTCCTAAATAATCGAATATGAAAGATTAAGGAGAGATAAAAGCCAAATATAGGTATAATATAATATAACACAATAATATAATATAATAAACAAATATAAGATTAGATATAAGATTAGGGAATTCTGAGAATGTTTGTAAGCAGACATAAAGGAGGCAGTGGAGAGGGAATGATTGAAGACATGAGAGCAGAGGCATGGCTGCTGTAGCAAATTCCCAGAACAATGAACAAGTATCCAAGACAGAATTCCAACCCAAGTCTGACCGATCCAAGGCTGGAATGCTATTTTTATTCTCTCTCTAGTCACTAAGATTACCTCTATCTGCATTCACCAGGTTCTAGCCCCCAGTTCAGTCCAGGTAACCATCACCAGCCCACCACGCCTAATCTTAATGGCAAAACTTGCCCTGGTCCTCATTCACAGAAGACTCAGGTGCTATTTCTTCATTTCATTTGAGAGACAGTGAGGTGGTTCAGTGGCTAGAGTGCCGGGCCTGGAATCAGTAAGACCTGTCCACAAGGTCACAATTAACAAGTAAAAGTATTATTATCCCCATTTTATAAGTGAGGAAACTGAGACTTATCGATAGTAAGTTACTTGCTTATGGTCTTAAGCAGTGTAGTGGCAAAATCAGGGTTCAAACCCTGGTCTCCTGATTCCAAGTCTAGTACCTTTCATTCTCTCACACTGTCTCTTCAAGTTATTTCCTAAAGAAAATAAACTTGGGTGAGCTGGAGAAGGGGGGCGGGGTGGGACATGAGACTACTGGGCATGGGCAACAGATTAGAGAGATGGGAAGGGCCAAGAGAGGTGAGGACAAACATCCAAATTTTGTCTCCTTTATGATTTTGCCTAGATCCAGAGCTGGCCTCAATAAGGAGAATGAGTAAACAAAATATACTACATGGCCACGCTCACACATACAGGGAACTTTAAGGGCACATTTCAGCGTCTTTCAAAAATAAGAAGAAATTGTGAATTTAATACTGAGAGTGTAGAGGAGACAAATGATAAACTGTCAATGTTTATGTTAAAGCCTAGAGAGATAACTCATCTAATTCAATTTGACAAGTATTTCTTAAGCATATATTTACTCTGTACTCAGCACTGGCCTCAGTCCTAGGTGACATATGTATAGATAATGATAAACAACAATTTTAGTTTGCTTAGGATAGCACTACAAAACACTGTTCAGATGGAACCCTTTTGCCAGACAGGGTTGGCGTAGGAGGTGAAGCAAAGGAGTATGTCATCAAAGAAGACTTCTTTTTTTTCCCACCTAGATCACTGAGAGGAAAGATCATAGTCTTAAAACTGAGAGGAACCTTAGATATCATCTTCCTCAATTTCCTCATTTTACAGGTAAGGAAACTGAGGCCATGAGAGGTTAACCACAGTCAGGTACTAAGTAGCAAAGTCAGGATTTGAACCCAGATGCTCTGACACCAAACCCAAGGCTTATTCCATTGTGTATTATTAATGTTATTCCTATTAATTTACAGAGTAGCCCTAATCTCTAATGCTTTACTATAGCACCATCCCTTTGGCATAAGTCATTGAATAAATCTAATACCCAAGAGGTATCATGCCAAATGAGGTGATGCAGTAGATACAGCGTCAGACCTGGAGTCAGGAAGATTGGAGTTGAAATCCAGCCTTACACCCTTACTAGCTGTGTGACCCTGGGTAAATCAATTAACCTCAGTTTCCTTATCTGTAAAATGGAGAAAACAACAGCACCTACCTCCCAGGGTTGTTGTGACAATCAAGTGAGATAATAATTGTAAAGCACTTAGCACAGTGCCTAAGTAAGTGCAATATAAATGTTAATTATTCAAATTATGTAGAATTTCATCCATAAAACAAAGCATAGCTCTACACAAACATTCTTAGGATGTAATGTGTCATTTATCCTCTAAAGTATGAATATGGATAGGAAATGGTCCTGTAATTTTCTTGGTATAGAGAACTCTCGATGAGGAATCTCTACTAAGGCAGATCAGCATCTTCTCTGTAACCTTAGTGTTAAGAGTTGCCAAGAACACCAAGACATTAAGTTACTGACTAGGAATCACATAGCAAGTATGGGTCAGAGACAGGATTTAAACCAAGGTCTTTCTGGTTCTAAGGCTTGATCTCTATCCATTACGCCATGCTGCCTCTCATGTGAATAGGAAAACGCCATGTAAAATATTGCATCAATAAATCATAAAGCTATATTACAGCAACAGACTATTACTTGGGACCACATCCCCACTTTTGTTTTCACAGTATACCAATTAAAGTAAGCTGAGCACAGAGCATTTAGAAACCTGGGATCACAGAGAGGCAGCACAGTGGGCCTGGAGTCAGGGCATCTGGCCTTTCCAGAGGGGTGGTGTTGGACAGATAATTTTGATTCTTTGGGCCCTGTCCCTTGCCTGGTTCTCAAAAGTAAATGCTTTGTAAAACTTAGAAGCATCATCTAAAGCTGAGTTATGATGTGGAGGTCATTGCTAAGATGCCTTCAAGTTTGAAAATTCTCACTCCTGAATTACTTCTGGTAGGAACACTAAAGGTTATCTGGTGCAAACTATTCATTTGGCAGATGAGGAAACAGGTCTAGACAGGCAAAATGACTTGCTTAACCAAGGACATACAGCTAATTAATGCTTCTCCTCATTTCTAGCTGTAATCTTTACACATTATGTTGCTTCTCATGTATAAGCCAGTGTGCTGTGGTAGGGGAAAAAAGTCAGGTGAAACCTGGGTTTGATTTGCTTACTGGGAGATCCTAGTCAACTTGCTTAACTTCTCACCTGTAAAATGGAGCTGAAACCACCTGTAGTACCCATCTCTCAGGACTTTTAAAGAATTAAGTACACCAAATTTAAAGGACTGCAGTAAAGTAAATCCTAGATTGATATATAGCTGAATAGTAGGGAAAGAGGACAGAAACACGTATGTAATTTCCAAGTAAGGCTAAAATTAGCTACAAAATTTATATTAAAATATTTTTCTTTCAGGGAAGCTAGGTGGTACAGTAGAGTTCCGGGCCTGGGGTCAGGAAGACCCCATTTTCCTGAGCTCAAATCTGGCCTCAGACACTTATTAGCTGTGTGACCCTGGGCAAGTCACTTTACCTTGTTTGCTTCCATTTCTTCAACTGTAAAATGAACTGGAGATGGAAATGGCAAACCACTCCAGTATCTTTGCGAAGAAAACACCAAGTGGGGTCACAAAGAGTTGGATGTGACAGAAAATAACTGAACAACAATCTTCCTTTCAGAATGTTTGCTTATTCACTTAGCTTAGCTAAGTGTGATATAGCTCTTATAACACTGTCGAGAACAGTTAAGTATTTTGGTTATTGTGATAACACTTGCTGAGATTTATCCAGATGTTCACTCATCCACGGCCAATCTGTTCCAGTAAACAAATCTCAACTCTAAATGGGGAAGCAATAGGATTGGGGTTGAAGATGAGATACCTTTTTTTTTTTAATTACAAAGTTAGAAAATGTCCAGTACAGCAAAACATTCTTTGCAGTTAGATTACTGATGAAAAGGTAAAAGCACAATGGAGGAAGAAGGAAAGAGAAGAAACTAGAGAAAAAGGTAAAGATCATACTCATTCTTTAGCAACAGGTAAAGAGACAAGTAAAAAAGTAAAAAAAAAAGTATGGGAAGGTCTTCAAAATGGATGATGGAATTTAAGTAGTTAAAAGCTATCTTAACAAAGTCTTGGGGTTCTCTTAGAAATGACAGCAATGTTTAAATTACTATGGCAAATCCTGAACCCATCCTTTGGCAAAGTTATAGATAACTCTTGGAAGAGTAAAGTCCTTCTACCAATACAAGTGTCAGTACCTTCTCTGCAATTTATAGTCTTAGATAGTGGTCTAGAGCACAGAGAGGCTAAGTGACTGGCCAGGAAGCCACTGTGCCAGAGCAAAGACTTGAACCCAGGTCTTCTTGGTTCCAAAATCAGCTCTCCATCCACTATGCCACACTTCCTCTCAGTCTATATTTAAGAACAACTTTTTATTACAGCTTAGATACATCTCCCAACTTCTCCTTCCCTTTCCTAATACTCTTGACACATCCTTTAAGAAAACAAAAATTTTTTCCTGTTTCCAAGCATTTTATTTTGAGTGTTGTTCAATAGTGGTAAATTTTAAGCCTCCATGGTACTCTTCGAGCTGGTACACTTCAGATGGAAAGAGAAATATGGAAGTTGGATATCCAGGAGGAAAACCCATGCCTGCTGGCAAATAAAATGTATTGTGCTCATTTCCAGAAGTTTTTATCTCAAGCCAAGGGGAAAGAATGTGGTCCCTGAGGAAGAGAGAACAATACATTACATGCCAGGCTTACACTCTCAAGGACCCTTTCAGACCCATCTAGTCTACAAAGAAAAAAAGGACAAAAATGAACTCCCTTGTTAATTTTTTCATCCTTTTTCTTTACAAGGGAACAGACAGTCATGGGAAAAATAAACTATCAAGTCAGTGTGGTAATACACTCCCTCCTCACATCCAATCTATCTTATATAAAACTTCATTAGAGTTTATAATCAGTGTTATTTTTTTAGGGTATACATGTATATTTTTTCTTCTCAAACATCCTACCTCAGGGATAAGACCTATATTTGGACTGATATAATAAATGGCATTGGTTCAGTGTCACATAATGAGAAGAAAACAACCAAGTCTTACTAATACCTAAACAACAACATTCAAAGGACAGCCTTAATAGACAACATCCCACTAATCTTTTAAAACACAAAATGAAGTTTTTCACCATTTTCATAAATTCAAACTAAACACTGGGGGCCAAAGATTACTTCGTGAGACACAGGAGTATTTAGACAATTAAAATTTTTATTGAAAACCAGATTTTCCCATACAACATTTTTATAAGAAAAAAATGGAACTAGAAACATTCACAGAACACAAACTGGTTTATTAAATGATAAATCAACAATGTAGGAAGAGAGATTAAACCAATTCCTAGACTGAGGATGCCACTATCAAATAAAGTATTATTGACACACACACAATAAGGTATTTTTGAATCTTAAATACAGGAAATCTATATGCCATTAAGAGCATGGGAAGAAAATCCTGACTAAACCAAAGCCAGAACAACTCTTACAAGTTGGAATGAGCCCCCTTTTAATAATTAAGCACATAAAACTGTACTACTTGATATATTTCTCCATGAATTTTTTGTGAAATTCTGATCGAAGGGTATCATTTACAAATCTTTTGTCCTTTTTCAGCTCATCTACTCCTTTGGCGCAGTTCTTAAAGACAACATCATCATCCCACCTAAAAGTGTTAGAAAAACAAAAGGTTTATTAGTAGAGTTTTAAGTAGTCCAGTTTGGAATGAGCAGTAAGCAGAATTTAAATGATTATGATTTTTATGATATCTTACTTAAACACACTCTATATGCTGATGTTAATTTTATTTTGTCTAAAACCATTTCTCCTTTATATAAATGTAAATCTTCTTGGAATCAATCTTAGATCATTACATTTACAAGAAAAAATTACCAGAAAATCTTTAATATAAGTTTCAATTTTATCTAAGCAACTATAAGTAACCATAGTAAGAACCACCACCATCATCACCAGCACTTTCATGATGGTTCCTCTATGAGACATGCTCTATATACTCCTGTATACAGTGATTTGACCGATGTATAACTAAATATTTAGATAAGTTACTTTATAATGGCCTTTGAAAAAACTTAATTAAGAAAGGTTATCTCTAATTGAAACATCCAATATAAAGGTTTTCTTAACGTGGGTAAGTCAGACTTAAGCATTTATCAAGCACCTGCCATGTACCAAGCACTGCCATTAAGTGCTTGGGGAGTAGTTTTTAAAATATTTTGATAAATGATGTTGTTCAGTTGTGTCTGACTCTTTGTGAACCCATTTGGAGTTTTCTTCGCAAAGACACTAGAGTAGTTTGCCCTTTTCTTCTCCAACTCCTTTTACAGATGAGGAAACTGAGGCAAACAGGATAAAGTGACTTGCTCTGGGTCACACAGCAAGTTAAGTGTCTGAGGCCAGATATGAACTTAGGTCTTCCTGACTCCAGGTCCACCACTCTATCCACAACGCCATTTAGCTGCCCTATTTTGATAAATGTATTTAACAGTTTTCTTTGTAATCTATGTATTTTATATTATGCATTTAAAAATATTCTTCTGAGAAGAGTTCAATGGGCTTCACCAGACTGCCTAGGGGTCCAGGGCACAAAAGAGGTAAGGAACCTCTTATCCAAAATATTACTTTAAAACAATTCAAGTATTGTGGAAACACAATCAGGATAACACAAGATTGAGCAGCTTCTACATTAAGGGACCGCAGGGTTTGGAATATAATATTCTGGAAGGCAAAGGAGACAGGACTACAACCAAGAATCACCTACCCAGCAAAACTAAGTATAATCTTTCAGGGGAAAAAATGGACATTCAGTGAAACAGAGGACTTTCAAGCATTCCTGATGAAAAGACCAAAGCTGAATAGAAAATTCTACTTTCAGATACAATACTCGAGAGAAACATGAAGAGGTAAACAGGAAAGAGAAGTCATAAGAGGCTTATTAAGGTTGAACTGTTTACATTCTGCATGGAAAGATGGTATTTGTAACTCATGAGTCCTTTGTCAGTATTACAGTAGTTGGAGGGAAAAAAAGTGTATGTATGTATACAGAAAGATAAGATAGACAGATAGACAGATAAACAGAGGGCACAGGGTGAGTTGAAGATGAAAGGGTCATATCTACAGAATAAAATTAAGGGGTGAGAGAGGATTATACTAGGAGAAGGAGAAAGGGAGAAGTAGAATGGGGTAAATTATCTCACATAAAACAGACAAGAAAAGGCTTTTACAGCGGTGGGGAAACGGGGGAAGGTGAGAGGGAATGAGTGAATCTTATTCTCATCAGATTTGGCTTAAGGAGAGAATAACAAACACACTCAACTGGGTATGGAAATCAACCAACCTACAGGAAAATGGGGGGGACGGGACAAGAGAGCAGGAGGATGATAGAGGGGAAGGCAGATTGGGGGAAGAATAATCAGAAGCAAACACTTCTAAGGAGGGACAGGGTCTAAAGAGAGAATAGAATAAATGGGGCGTGGGATAGGATGAAAGGAAATATATGTAATTTTTCACAACATGACTACTATGCTAAAGTGTTTTGCATAACTACACATGTATAACCTGTATTGAGTTGATTGCCTTCTCAATGAGGGTGGGTGCGGAGGGAGGAAGAGAGAAAATTTGGAACCCAAAATTTTAAAAACAAAAGTTAAAAAAACATTATTTTCACATGCAACTGGGAAATAAGATATATAGGAAATGGGTATAGAAATCTGTCCTGCCCTACAGGAAAATAGAAGGGGAAGGGGATATGAGAAGGGGTGGGAGAGAGAGAAGGGAAGACAGACTAGGAGAAGGGGTACTTAGAATGTATACCATCTTGGGGTGGGGGGAGGGACAAGATGGGGAGAAAATTTGGAACTCAAAATCTTGTGGAAGTGAATGTTGAAAACTAAAAATAAATAAATTAATTAAAAAATTAAAGGAAAAAAAATATTACTTTAGGGTATTCAACCAACCAACCAACCAACCCAAACCTCTTAATGAAAAGAACAAAAATAGTTTCATGGCTTAGAACAAAAGGATACTTTTCAAATTTTAAGACTTCTAGGTTTTAAATACTGAAATAGTATCACCTTAGGCTCCCTGATACAACTTTCTTGATAAGTCAGAATTAACTAATCTTCCATGGCTGATTTAGCTTGTCTCCAAAGTGATACAGTCTCAAATGCTAAAACTACACTTTAATCAGTCAACAATAACTGTAGTAGAAACCATGGGTGAACACTTAGAGGAGATAGTCCATACACTAAATACATGAAGAGCAAAAACTAATGTTCTACAGAAATAAAATAATGTGACTGAGCCAGTACTTGGTAAACAAATTCAAAGTGCAGTGCAGGCCTGTTTCTTTTGGCTAGATCTCTTAAATAATTCCTACCCACATGAATGTGCCCTATAGGTAGGGCTACACAATACATATCTAATAGAAAACAAACAATATGAGTTCTGTGGAAAGCGTAAGGCAGAATGCAAATTGATAACATGTACTAAGATGTATCAATGAGAAGCAATCGGCTACCTCTCAAATGAAGTGCCGACACACCCTATTTCTTTACACAACAAATGATATATGACAGCTTCACTTTAGTCTACTAGCAATGGCAGATAAGCAAAATAAGAAGGTATGTGTCTTACAGAAGCAATACTAGTGAGGTCATTATTGACCTACAGAGTAAATGTACACAGATGACCACCCTGAAGCTGAATGTGAGGAATCTTGCAGTGGAGGGCAGGTGGAAGTGTTAAAGGCTTTCTATTTCTATTTTCTATTTTGCTAGGTACGAGGAGAATAAAAGCAAATTAAGCCATTTAAAACATCAGTCAGACTTCTACTCAATCAGAATAAGAAATAAGGCTGCTGCCCCTATCCCAGGGGCTAAAGGAAGCAGGTCCCTACCTTCTCTTTACTTTGAAGTTGGCCTGAGGCTGAGAGGGACCAGTGAGATTAAGAAGAGGGTTTCCACTGAGGATATTTTCCATCCGAATTCTCTCTTCTTCAGCCTTTTGTTCTTGTTCCTGTAAATCACACATGTATCAAGGTAATTCCTGGGTAATCTTTTCTTACTTATGTGACAAGACAAAAGGCTGTAGGATTTAAACTGCAAAACTCTCACATGTGGTGGTACAGATAGATTATATTGACTTTGACAAAGGAACAGAATCAGAAAGACTAAGAGTTAGAAGGACCTCAAAAGATCATTCAGTCCAACCCATATCTGAACAGGGATCCTTTTTACCCAACATCTCTGAGGGTAGTCATCCACTCTGCTTGAAGACCTCTTGTTATGAGAAAGTTACTAACATCTAAGGCATCGCATCCACTTTTGGACAGCGTTGAGTAATGGATAAGAGCTGGTGTCGTCAGTGGTCAGAACAACCTGGGCTCACATACTGGCTGTGTGACCTACTGTGGAGAAATCACTTAAATTCTCACTGGCCCAGGCAACTGAGAACTTATAGAAAGTTATCTACCTGCAACGAAAGAGAGAGTTTTCTTCCTATACCCATGAAATCACAGGGCCAGACAAAACAAATCAACAACAACAACAACAAAAAACCTGTTCAGAAAGATTTCCTTTTATCAAGCAGAAAGTTGCCTCTCAGCAGCGTCTACTACTGGTTGTTCCTAGCCCAGTTGTCTGGGACCCAGTAAAACAAGTCTTCTCAGTCTTCCACAAGAGAGTCCTGCAAATATTTTAAGATAGCCATCAGGTTCCCTTTTCCAGGCTATCCCACCCTTTACTTCTGTCTATCCTCATATGACAGGGTATCCAGTCCTCTCACCATCCTGGTCACCCTACTCTGTACACAGTCCAGCTTGCTGACATCTTTCCTCTGACATGACACCTAGAACCGATCACAATATTCCAAATATGATGGAAAGAGTAAGGTAATCCCTCTTCCTAGAACCAACTTTGTCCCTGGGGCAAAAGGAAGTAGCTATTAGAAGAGGATGACTACATTGGTTGCCTAGTTTCACTTATGACACCTGCTTTTCCTCATTCCTATAGACTGAAACAAATCAGCACAGATGTTTAGTCCTGGAGCCTTGCCCTGTCTTCTTAAGGAGTTGGAGGCAAGATTGGAAAGAAAGGAAATAAGTGTAGGGTAGCAAGTTTCATGGCAAAATTGACCTGCTGAAGCTTACTGAAAATTATACCTCCCTCTAGACAGATTCCCTGCACTAGCAGGCAGAACTCCTGGATTTCAGTCTTAGCTTAGTCATTGAACTAGCTTTGCAACCTTAAGCAAGTCACTTAATCTCTGCGGGCCACAAATTAATCTGTAAAATGAAGAGCTGGACTATAGGCCTCTTCTACTTAAAAATTTCTAAAAATATCTCTTTTTTTTATTGTAAGGACATAGAATTTGTTAGAAAAAGATCCTGGCTAGTGATCATGGGGTCTAATCTCTCTCACTGAGAGGGACTGACATATGTATCTCCTAGAACAGACTATATATACCGGACAGTAATTGGCTGGGCACAGATTTCAGTAGGAAGACCACTTCAGACTTGATCATATTTGGGAAGCAGCGGAATGCTTTCAATGATTCCAAATTGCCTATTGCCACAAAAACTCATGTCTTTGTATCACTAACACAAATATGTAAGCATAAGTGGCAACAAAGAAGTTACTGAGAACATATTAGTCAGATCGTGCAGTAAGAATTAGAGACTATAACTAATCAGCTGAGTGCTACACTGGGGCAGGTCAGATGTTAAAAGAACCAGAGGAAGTCATTACTGGATGGCTCACCTATAAAAAATTTATAGAAAAACATGGAACAGATACACAAAATAAGAAAGTGTGGATGAGCTATGTGACCTTTATCGTGGAAGGAGACTCACACTGATGAAACCATGTATCTGAATGTTAAAGGGTAGGTTTCATTCTAGACTGGCTCTGTGAATTTAAGATTGGGTCTTATTTCACCTTTGCATCTTTCCCAGTACATAGCTGGTATTCTGCATAAGAAACTTTGCATGGGCTGTCCCCCAAACCCAGGAATATACTTCCTCCTCCCTTCTACCCCCCAGGGCCCTCAGTTTCTGGTAAAGCACAGCTCAACCACTATCTTCTACATGTGACCCCCTTCCTGATATCTTAGCTGTTACTGTCCCTGCTCCCAACTCACCAAATTTCCTGCTATTGATTTTGTGCATATATCAATGGAATCACAGTTCTAGTCCCTTTCCCTAGAGAATGAAAATTTGTTGAGGGCAGGGACTGTTTCCCTTTTTGTCTTTTTATCCCCATGATCTAACCCCCTGCCCAGTACACAGCAAGTACCTAATAAATGAGTGTTGACTGATTTGCTGGAATTGAAAGCTGTGTCCAGCCTGAGCCCCAAAGGATAGACAGAGGGTTTCACTGAAAGCCTTTCCACAAAGACAAGAGTATGTGAGCCAACTGTAGAGATGCCAAAGCAAAGATATGTGGGAAATGGTCAAAGAAGTATGAGAAGGGAGACAGTAGGAGGTAAGGCTAATAGAAAGGTAGACTGGGACCAAAAAATAGAAGCCCAGGCTATAAGGCCAAACAGCGATCTGTTTCAACAGAAAAAGGGGAGCCAGTGAAAGTTTTTTGGTCAGTGTGTGTAACATGGTCAAAGTTATGCTTTAGAAGAATTAATCTGGCAGCATTGTATAAGATGAAGTGAAGTAAAGAGAACTGTGACAGGGAGAGCATTTGGGAAAATATTATCATTCAGACAAGGAGGAGACAAGAGAAGGGGTGGAAATGACGAGAAATATTTTAGAAGTACTTTTAGAATGGCCATATGACTGGGTAGGAGCAAGAGATGAGTCAAAGGTAAGAGGGGTTTTGAGCCTAGGTAACAGAGAAGATGGTGATGACAGGTGAACATCAGAAAAACAAGGTTTTTCTACAATATGGCCTAAAAAATGACTTAAGGAATAAAACAATGTGATTGTATCTGGCATAAAACTGAGGTCACTGGCTTTGAAAGCTAAATTGTGTTACTACCCAAACTATTACTTTGCAAGACTGGCCTGAAGTTACCTGATACTTATTCACTACCAATTCTCCTGTCAGCAGGAAAAGGCTTCAAAATTCATTACAAATTTCATGCTTCAGCTGTCATCCCCATAAGAAAAAGTTGCTTCATTATATAGGTTAATCTTAATAGGAATGTGCCAGAACATGAACATTTCTCCAGTTTAAGAGGAAAACAAATCAGGAAATAAAAATGAACCACACAGAATACAAAACAGTGTAAAAAGGAAAGGTAGTTTTCAGTTATGATTTCAAAATACATAACTTGCCTGGAGTCATTAAGTGACAGAGCTGGGACATGAACCCAGGTCTTCAGACTCCAAATCTCTGCCTTATGTACCGCTGTCCCTCAACTCTGACACAGCTCTTTTTCAAAAGGAAACACAACACATGTAGCTCCTGATTCTATCATCCTCTCATCACTTCTGGAAAAAATCTTGTTTTCATGACTCTTTTCTCTTCCACCAGTAATCTTTCCCACTTCTCTGCACTCCTTCCCCTTCCTTGGTCTGCACACACGTACAGGTATCCTTTCTCCTTAAACAACTAATACTCATTTTTAACATTCATTCCCTCCACTTCAGTTCTTCTCCTATGACTGGTTCAGGTATTTATCACCTCTAGTTTTTTAACTGGTCTCCAAGTCTCTCTAACTTAACCTATATGTTGCCATCAGATTAATTCCTAATGCAAAATTCTGATGTCATGTCCCTGATCAAAAACCTTCAATGGCTTGCTATTATCTTCCAAAGATGACTTGGAATGCTTCCCAAGTAAATTTAAAACCAATCTCACTTAATTTTCATTGGGAGAAAAAGCATATAAGAAGCCAATATTAATACTTGGGTTTGCTACTTAGTAATAAGGCACTACTTCTGGACAAAATCACAACAAAAACATACATGATTCCTTTAATATAAGTCACAGTCAAAATGTTCTTGTCTTTACTATCATACTCAAAGACCTTGGAATGTTATACTCTGTAACATTACTTTTCCCCTCCAAAAGATATGAGATTTTGTACCCTCCAGCCACAAAAACCAATGAGAGCACATTCAACTCTCTTTTCAGTCAACTAATTTACAAAAGTCTAAAGTAGAAACTACATCTGTAAACAACAATTATCTCACATAAAAGATTAACTATGTGGAAAATACATTTTGGTCTTTGAAAAACACACTGAATTATTTGATAAATGACAGCACACAACTTAGAACACATTTTGCATTTGCAGTCGCTAAGGGCTTAGAAGTTAAAAACAGTAGTGACAAACATTCACAGACACCAAAGTTAGAAAGGTAATTACATCTTTTGCTTATGTGCTCAATTTACAGCAAAGGTCAGATATATAAAATCAAAACAATTTTCCTAACGAAAAAACTTTTTTCTTGGTGTCAAAGTGAATAATCTCAGAAGTACCACCAGTAGTGCTTATCTTTAACATCTGTAAAAATTCTTGCTTTCTATAAGAAATCCTTAGCAGGATCCATGACATTTCAAAAAATATCTATACAAGCTAACTGCTAAACCAAGCAACTGTTACATTTACATAACATGTTTTATCCTCATTAGATCCTCGCAAAAACTCTGTGAAGTAGGTGCTACTATTATTATCACACACATTTTACAGATGAGGAAACTGGGGCTCAGAAGTGAAATTCCAAATAATTGTCCAGGATCATACAACTAAATAAATGCTGAGGTAGAATTTGAACCCAGGTCTTTTTGACTCTAAGTCCAGCACCTAAGCCCTAGCTCCCTCTTGAAAGTATGGAAGTCAAAAATATTTTTTTTCCCACCTTTTAACATAAGTGAAAGGCTGTAAATTAAGTGAACTCTTAACTAAGCCTCACTATAAAGTCACAGAATCAAATACAAGAGTACTATTTTTCAAGGTGTTCAGTGTGCGTGTGTGTGTGTGTGTGCGTGTGTGTGTGTGTGTGTGTGTGTGTGTGTGTTTTCAGGCTCTATTATGCAATTTATTGTTAGTGTGTTTTT